TTTATTTATTTATTTATTTATTTATTTTTAATGTTTTATTTATTTCTAGGAGAGAGAGAGACAGCGTGAACAGGGGAGGGTCAGAGAGAGAGGGAGTCACAGACTGAAACAGGCTCCAGGCTCCAAGCTGGCAGTCAGCACAGAGCCCGACGCGGGGCTCGAACCCACGAACCGCGAGATCATGACCTAAGTGAAAGTTGGACGCTTAACCGACTAAGCCACCCAGGCGCCCCTTTGGTGAACATTTTTGAGACAGTTCACTTTACCACTGTAGACTGGTGCTAAATATTGATAAACAATTTTAAATCACCAAGGAATTGGTAAATAATTCATAAAACATGCTTATAATAGAAAACTTTTCAGCAATTAAAAATAGTGACATGGGGCGCCTGAGTGGCTCAGTTGGTTCAGTGTCTGACTCTTGGTTTTGGCTCAGGTCATGATCTCACCATCTCATCAGTTCAAGCCCCATGTCAGGCTCTGTGCTGACAGTGCAGAGTCTGCTTGGGATTCTCTCTCTCTCCCCCCCCGCCCCTCCCCCACTTGTGCTGTCTCTGTGTCTCTCAAAATAAATAAATAAACTTAAAAAAATAGTGACATAGATTTATGTTTATTGACAGGCAAAGATATCTAAGATACATATTGATTTAAAGAATAAGGTTTCAAAAGAGCATGATAGTTGAGGCTGTTTTTGTAATAAAACATGTTGTGTGTATGTGCACATGTGCTCATGTGTTTATATAAAGAAAAACATCTGGAAGGTTATACTCCATAATGTTAACTGTGATTATATCTTGTGATTCCTAGTAATTTCTGTCTCCTTCTTGATGCTTGTATATTATATGAAGTTTGTAAGATAAGTAAGCATTTTTTTGTGATAAGAAAAATTAAGCTCTTTTGATGAGAAATATGCCTATCCCAGCTAAATTGTTTTTAAACATTATCAGAGGTTGAAGCATCCTAGATTTTTACCATGGTTGTTGTTTGCAAGGCTCAAGTGTGGTGAGGGCAAAATTATTGTTTCCGGAAAACAGTACTTAAAAGATCAGAATTCTATAGGATGAGGACCACAAGGTTCCCATGTAAATTGAGGCCATGTTGCACCGGAGTAAGTGTTCAGTGTAATTCCAAGAGTTGGAAGACACTTATTGAGGTAATATAATCCAATGCATCACTTTATAGATGAAATTGACTGAAGACTAGAGCCCAAGATCACACGACTGGTCATTAGCAGGCCCGGAACTGGGACCTAGCTCTGAAAGCCAGTGCTGTGACCTCTCCACTGTGCTAGTCTGACTTTGTAGGTGACATTCTCTGACTCCTAGATATGACTCTTTCAACCACATTCTAAATGTTGTTTCCTTGATGAATGTTGACCTCCAGATAAAGAATGCTTATGTACTTAAGGTTTTTTTTTTTTTTTAATTTTTAATGTTTCATTTATTTCTGAGAGAGAGAGATAGCGTGAGGAGGGGAGGGCCAGGGAGAGAGGCAGACACAGAATCTGAAACAGGCTCCAGGCTCCGAGCTGGCTGTCAGCACAGAGCCCGATGCAGGGCTTGAACCCATGAACCGTGAGATCATGACCTAAGCCGAAGACGGATGCCTAACCCACTGAGCCACCCAGGCGCCCCTGTACTTAAGTTTTTGAACCCATATGTATTTGTATAGTGGTGAGAACTTAGCAGAAGTATTGTTTTATTATATATATGACTCATAATTTAGAATACTTTTACTGCAGTATTTTAGTTCCTGGTAAAAGGAAAGGTAATATGCATCTTTTTTAAATGTTTATTTATTATTAATTAACTAATTAATTGAGAGAGAGAGAGAGAGAGAGAGAGAGAGAATGAGCAGAGGAGAGGCAGAGAGAGGTGGGGAGAGAGAATTCCAAGCTGTCTTCACACTCAGTGTACAGCCTGACACAGGGCTCTATCTTACAGCTGTGAGATCATTACCTGAGCTGAAATCCAGAGTCAGACACTTACCTGACCAAGCCACCTAGGTGCCCCCATCAGTGTGACGTTCTATGGTAAGTCTAACTCTTCTCTTTTTTTCAACAGCTGGCCACATTCCGCACTCTCCTCTGTACAACGGAAGGCGAAGCAGCAGCTTTTCTGTTGAGCAATCACCGTCCACCACAGCCTCTGAAGGGCCGAAAAGTGAGAGCATCTTTCCGTTAAAAGTTGTCATCAGTTGACCACCCCAAACAAGTCTGTGGACAAAAAATAAAACACAAAAGTCCCTAGTAACAGTTCTTTCCTAGGACTCTGATTTACAGGTACCATATTGCTATCAGCTTCAGTACCACAAAGATCAGATCTCTTTAATCAAACTAACTTAACTCATCTGTCTCAAATTTGCCATTATGGGTCTTCAAACAGTACACATTGTTTGATGTGTGTTAAAACCCGTGAAGTGCATCTACTTCAGCCTGTGTGAAAACATGGTAGGCATCACAAGTCTCAGAATGTGCGAAAAATTTTCCCTGGCCCTAGAGATCAAATCAATCATGTCTCTCAGTGAGGTTTGGTAAAAAATTTAAATTCTTTGCTAGAATGATAATATTGTGACATCTTTTTCTACACAAATGAGTCTGCTTGCTGCCCTGTTATCATTCCAATCCATAACAAGTCGATAATATTTCCTTTCAAAGTGAATTTTTGTTTTGATTATGTTGTTGATTCTCATTGCATGGCACCTTTAATAAAGTGAACAATATGAGTGCTATGGGGGGTGGGATATAACTCCTTACTGTGTCTATTCCCCAGCTCAAAATTCACCAATACAGTTTTGGCGAGGAATTCCTCTTGATATAAATGACTTTAAACTTTAATGAGTTTTGCCCTATATCACAATCATGCAGTAATGTTAATGATAAGCTGGTTAATAATTGGTTAGCTGCAGTGCTTGCCAATGTATTGACATGGTTTGAAAGTAACAGATTGCAGGGTACCACACAGGTGGAATGCCCCAAGGGTATGATGAATGGGTTGCCCACTTTTTCCCTGCCTTTTGGCCGCAGAGCGGTGAACAACCCTGTGGAAGTCCGTGTTCTGTCAACTGGTGAAAAAGATTTACCCTGGCCTCATATAAATGTACAGTCAGTCTACAAACCCTGCAACCCATTTCCTTGGCAAAGCCCATCTCCTCTTGTATACATACATGTCCCTCAGTCTCACAAGGGATTTTGCTAAGTTGGCTTTTGATATTCATTTTAACCTATTGTCTCTCACATATTTTTGTTTGTTTTGGTAAAGGAAGATGGTGGAGGTCCCTTTACTGCCTCTGGTACAAGTGGAGCGACACTAAGCATTAATCACATTAAGACTTGAACACATGGTACACTTCTGTCATCTGAGAGAAGTTTAGCTGAGTTTTCTTGCTTTTACTAATTTGTATCACACACCACTCCTCCTCCGGATGTAGATTTTAATAATTCAAGTTATTTTGCGGTAGTCTCCTTGATAGGATTACTGAGAATCGGTAAGTTGTGTAATAATGCTATACTCAGTTGCAGAAGATAATCTCCTGAAGACTAATGCTGATACCTTGGTCATTTTTGTTTTCTCTCATAGCAGTTAGCTTACGCCTTGCAAGAGATTGCCATCTAGTAAATATTTAATGAACTGAATGTTTTAAAATGTTTTATTTGATACCTTTGGTACTTATCTTGCTGCTTGTGATTAAATGCATTTTAAGTTAATGTAACAAGTAAAATATAAGTTATCTCTTAAAAATGGTTTCTTTTTAAAGGCATAATTATTAAATCTACTTGTGTAACCAGATGTTTTAATGGCTGTAAAAATACCAGTGTTGAATGGTAAAGTGTTTCCTTAGTTTGGAAGGACATGTTGTAAAGTATCCTAGTCAGAGGAAGAAGTCTGCTTCCTCAGAGAAAGTTTGTTGTCTGTTTTGAAGGGTGTATCACAGGGGAGTCTAACTACTTTGCATGAGAGTTATTACTTTGTAATTTATGGTTTCTGCTACAGTACTGTATCGCTTCTATGCTACAAATTGGACTTTAGTAGACTAAAAAAGTCTACACAGCACTGATTATCTTGAAGATTGTCTGTGAATTTATTTGTCTCTTAGGGGGAAAAGGCCTAAGTGTGTGTTGAAGTTGTCATTTCTTAAAAAGATTAGAGTTGTGAATACTAGCATATTTTGTTTCCCATACTTTGTTTCCCATACATGTATTGGATTTATGTTTATTAAACATTTTGCATTTTAACTTAATTTGAATCCAACTGCAATAAAGAAAATGAGACAAACTTTGAAATGTATCAAGGACTCGTATATGAAAAGACATGGAATGAAATTATATTTTTATACTTCTTATTTAGAAGACAATCTCAAACTCGCAGAAAAAATGCAAACACAGTACACTGTTTTCTGAATTATTTGAGAGTAAGTTGCCAACCTGCCTCTCCATCTTCCCACAAACTTTATGTTTTCTACAAGTGAGGACATTGTCCTACATAGTTACAACATGGCTCAAACAACCATAGAGTTAGCATCGCTTTATTATTACCATCTAACCTATTTGAGAAAAACTTGTTCATTTAGTTATCTTCTTTCCTTCAGGTGGGAACTATTTCTTGGTTTTTATGACCTTGACACTTTTGAAGATTATAAGCCAGTTATTTTATAGACTGTCCCCCAAATTTGGGTTTGTTCAAGGTTTCCTTATGATTAGATTCAGGTTATACATCATTGGCAGGAATATCAGAAAAGCAGTGTTGGATGCTGGGCTCTTCTCATTCCAAGCTATCAGGCAACCAATTCTGATTTGTTCTCTTATGGAGAATATTCACTTTCATCACTTGATTAAGACAGTGTCTGCTAGGCTTCTCCATTGCAAAGTTGTTTATCCTTTGTAATTAATGTATTTGCGTGAAGATGTGCTCTGAGACCATGTAAATATTAATTAATTTACTTTATTAAGGACTTAGCAATTCTTAATTTATTTAGTGGGCTATAATCTGTTAGCATTATTAGTATTATGTTATCATTATTACTATTATATTATCACTAATATGTATCTATTCTCATTCACAAATCTTTCTTTAAAATATTTTTTTAATGTGTATTTATTTTTGAGAGAGAGGGAGACAGAGTGTAATCTGAGGAGGGACAAAGAGAGAGGAAGACACAGAATCCAATGCAGTTCCAGGTTCTGAGCTGTCAGCACAGAGCCTGACGCTGGGCTCCAGCTCATGGACCATGAGGTCATGACCTGAGCTGAAGTTGGACACCCAACTGACTGAGCCACCCAGGCGCCCCCCAAATTTTCTTGATTTGGCCAGTGGGAGCACCTTCCAGATGACTTCTGTGTCCTTTTGACATGTCTGTTTCCTTACTTTCTGATAGCAGTTGGACATACCTGGCTCATCTCATTCTTTCCCTTTCCCAGTCATGGGATCTACCATTTCTCCAAGGGGACCCTGCTAGTATTGAGAAAACCTGTCTGGGGCACCTGGGTGGCCTAGTCGGTTAAGCGTCCGACTTTTCGCTTAGGTCATGATCTCGCGGTTCATGGGTTCGAGCCCCGCATCGGGCTCTGTGCTGACTGCAAGCTCAGAGCCTGGAGCCTATTTCAGAGTCTGTATCTCCCTCTCTCTCTAACCCTCCCCTGCTCACACTGTCTCTCTCTCTCTCTCTCCTAGAAATAAATAAAAATATAAAAAAAAAAAAAAGAGAGAGAGGGAAAACCAGTCTGGGTACTAGATGATCTCACTGCTATTGGAATGTCACTACTTCTAGGTCCTCTCCATGGACAGAAGTTAGGAATGTGTACATACACATGTGTGCGTGTGCGCGCGCGCACACACACACAATCACGTGTATATATAGCTTCAACACCTATATTTCTGTATTTATCTGTGTCAGGAATTGTGATTTCACACTCACATGTCCAGTTTCAGTTTAACGCTGCAAGCTTCATTCCAGCTCTCCATTTCCACATTTGTAATTCCCTTTTTCTAAAAGTAAGAAACAGGCTTCCATTATCATCAACACATTTACTTATCTGACCAATTCTTCTGTATGTAACCAGTATTCCATCACCACCTCCAGCCTCTCACCCCACAGTGCATGCATGCCCTTCTCACTCAACTTGGGCTGTGATGTCCTGTGCTGGGCTGCCTGGCCCCCTGAAGGGAAGGGAGGAGAAGGGAAGGAAAGGGAAGAAGAAGAGTAAGATCGCATTTTGAAATACTCACTGGGATGTTCATAGGGAAGTCCTTTATTTCTAACACAAGGTTATTGAAAATGTAGCTTTACCTATACACATTTCATCATTAATGACAATGGAATAGAATATTTTGTAAAAGCTTTTTAGTATCTTTGGAGTGGGACTGGAGAAAATGGAGGCCAGGAAATAGTGGTCTCATTACAGAGGGTGGGAAGGTGTCCTGGCCCATGAATAACAACCCCAACTTCCTCTTGTTTCCAATTCTACTGAAGAAGATTAAGTTTTTTATATTAAGATTTCAATACCCATTGGAATGCAAACTCCTCTATCTGAGGATAATTGTTTAAGTTGCCACCAGTCATTTATACTTCAAGGTAACTGATCTTTGTATGATAGGTTTGGGTGGGAATAAGGTCTGTCACGGAAGGAATGTGAACATGGTACAGGAGAGCCAATGATCTGAGTGTTCACACAATCAAGGTGAGTTTGAACTACATCACAATATTGCCTACATGTCTCATTCTTACTTGTACTCGGACACCTCACACACAGGACTGACGTATAGCAATGAATAGAATGCATTAGTTTGTGCATTATTACATTAGTCCACGTAGATGAGCATCTCTACGAATTAGATGGACAGAAACAATTTCTAATCAACCATGGGGGAACTAGTGATGAAACTTTGTTAGAGGATGCCTCAGAAGTTTACAAGAAGTTTATGCAACCCTGATGAGTTAAGATTTAATGTGTTTGCACTTTTTGCAGCATAGTTTGATAATAGTGGAAATATCAAATGCTGAATTTTTATAACAGAAATTAAATTTATGCTGCCATACACTAACTCAAAAATTTTGGTATTTTATTAACTTGACTGAGTAATTAAGTGAGTTAAACTCTGACTTAAAAAGAAGTTTATTGAATTGAATTACTTGGAGATTTTTCTGTTGTGGCTAGAAAGTCACCTGTACCTTTCTAGAGAAGAATGAATAACAAGCAGAGATTCCCTTACCTCCTGTCATGGGCCGAGGAAAGTCTTCCTTCCTGAAGGTCTTC